TAAAGAGTTCTATAAACAATACTAGAGTATAAGAAGAATTTGTAAGTACTAGAAATAGTAAGATACAGTATATGTTTTAGAATTGTAGCTTTGAGAAGAATTTTAAATACTAGCTCTAATACTATATTAAAAGCAAACACCTACAAATAAAGTATGTTTTTTAATTAATAATGAACATTATAATATAATTGACTTGTACAATCAGATATAGTGTTTGTTCTAAGTGTAACAGGAAGTTCTACTAACAGTAAGCTCTCAATAGTCACATAGTAACCTAGTAAGTAGTATTACATTATACTTTCAGTTTATAGTCTTGAAATTGTTTAGTAGGAAGGTAGTATACAAGACTCCTAGTTATAATACAAATTTTGACTTGTTCCTACTCTTAACTATTTACAAGCTTATAGAGCACCAACCCTAATCTAAGAAGAGGTACAGATCTATTAAGAAGACCTTCTAGTGTTTTACATCCTATTACTTCAAATTATGTTATATTTGCACTTACACTAATGCTAAAAAAAAGTTGTTTGTTATTTAGTCAAAAATTTCTAATTTCTTCTAAGAGTCTTCAATTGTTATGAATGTATACATTCTTTGATTTATGTTGAGCTTTCTGAGTTTCTACAAATAGTTGTTAAGTCTCAAGTTACTAGTTACACTTTGAGTACTAGACATAATATTAAGCAAGACTTTTTACATATTTTCCTATATATAAGTAATGTATTATAAAGGAGCAATTCCCTATCTCCTCAGTACTGATAGTAAGCAGCTACAGACCTTTACAACACAGAAGCAGACTTTCTGTAGACAAGGTACACAACTGTAAGGTATGTAGAAGGGACTTCTAGTCAAATAGCTAGCTATGGATGTACTTGAGGAAAACAACCTATAGAGACAAGCTAAGGAACATAAAGTTGAGGTCTTACTCAAGATCATTGTCAACTACAAGATCAGATAGTGTTAGGCATTTCTCTGATTGTAGGAAAGATGAACAGTAAGAAAATGAGGATGATACAGACTATGTAATAAATAATAGTGTGTTGGACAGATTCTACAAAACAAACAAAACATTTCACCTAGACAACAATAAGAGTTTGGATACACTACAAAGTACTAGGCTATGTCCTGTACAGAGTGACACAGCTGTTGTAGAAGCATTTCCAGGTGTAGTAAAGGAGTATGGTAGAGGAGAGGATACATTCATATATGTATGAGAGAATGATTGTTTTTGTAACTGTAGAGACAATAACCCCTATTATTTGTTCTCTTGTGAGGAAGACTTTCAAATAGCAAAATGAATTATTGAATCCAGATTACCCTTTAGCAAGATTGATGAACTCCTATCCTTAGACTATGTTAGTAAATCACCTAATTACAGACTCCTGTACTGTGACAGTAATGAAAATATTTTGTGTAGATTACAACCTGTCTACTTTTGTTCTAAAGTGCTAAAGAGCTACAAGACTGTGTTAAGATGTTGCCAAGCCCTCCAAGTTGGATGGAAAAAGTTATTTTTGTTCTAGGCAGGACAACACAAAACCTGATCAAACTCTTATACTAAGACAGTCTAGAAACCTTCAAATTCTTGTTTAGGAATCTGATCTATGTGAAAAACTTTGATTTAGCACCTGTTAAGATATGGACTGACCAAAGCAAACAAGAGTGACTTTATACTGAAATGATGACAGAGGACATAGTATGGAATATTCAGGTCTGTTTAATCTATCCATTTTTTTACTCATTCTACTGAATGAATTGATTTCAGTCAAGAATCAGTCCTGGAGAGATGCTCAGATTAGTTATACTATCATCAGACAAGACTCACCTGACTATAATGCAGGGTGACAAGGAATGCTATACAGTTTACCTTACTGTTAGTAATATTTGTAAGGAATACAGAACAAAAGCTGTAAATGCTTGTTGGATCATAGTCAGACAGATCCCTGTTGTAAAGTTCAAGGAGTCCAATTTCCAGACAATGTTGTCTGCTTGTCTTTACCATACAGTAATGGATGTGATTACAACAGGTTTGAAGCAATGCTCTGTCAATCTGGAAATTATGAGTGACCCAAGAGGAGGGAAACACCTTGTACAGACTATTTTAGCAGTGTTTCTTGCTGATTACCTAGAGTAGTAGACTATATCATGCATGTCAGGGAATACTGTACCAACTTCACTAGCTACACTCAGGGATTTTGGAGACAGTGTGCTACATGAGCTTTGTACTCAAGAGAAGATCCTTGCAGATATTCAGTACCTAGAAGCAACATGCAGTCTACTAGATCTGTACAAATTTCAGGAGCTTGCCAGAGAAATTGGTCTGAATGGTGTAATTTGTCTGTTTTAGGAGGGATTTGCAGGAACAGGGCCACACGAATTCCTTGCTCCAGACATGCTCCACATGATCCATAAGTTCTTCTAAGACCATCCAGCAAAATGGGTGTATAAGGTGATGGGGAAGCACAAATTCGATAGACAGCTCCAAGTACTGTAGCCAAGAGTCAGACATAGGCAACTAAATTTAAGCAGCATTCCCAAAAGGAGACAAAGGATCTTGAAAGAATCATCTTACCAATCATTGCTGGTCATCCCAGCCTATCAAAGGACTCTATTCGAGCACTTTGAGCACTCCTCAACTTTGTCTTCATGGCACAGTACAATAGCCAGTCCACAGTGACTCTTGCTCTCCTGGACACATACTTAACTGCATTCCATAAGTATAAGAAGGGGCTGTTAGTGGCAGGAGTTAGGAACGGACCAAAGACGAAGGGACAGTTTAATATAAAGAAACTGGAACAGATTACTCATGTGACCAGATGCATTCGAAACCTTGGCTCAATCTTGCAGTTCACAATGGAGCAGACAGAGAAAGCCCATATTTTGCATTGTAAACAACCCTATAAACTTACAAACAAGAAGGATTATGAGGCTCAAATGTGCAGGAGGTTGGACACCCTTTTTCGTGTTTGTCTTTTCCCACAACTAGTGGAATGGTACTATGCTTCTCAGCAGCTGTGTCACATGAATACCAGTTGCATGGATGCATCAGTTGTTCGACAGCATTGGGAAAGGAGTCGAACCATCTTGGCCTCACACTTCCTTCATCAGGAAATATCGGATTTGTTGTCCTCAAGTCAAGCTATTTGTACTGAATCTTCTACTTGGATTTTGCCTGCCCTGTTTCATATAAGGCAGGCCCCTCTCTAGAGGATCGAGGATATGTACAGGATTAGTAGATTTTGGAGTGACCTTGGAGACTATTTTAAACAGTTTACTCAGACTGACGTTTTGCCTTTCAGCAAGATTAGAGTGTGGTGGAAGATGAAGGTGCAGCTCAGAGATCCGCAGGACAACAAGACACCTAGGCCACCAATTACAGTCTTGGCACAGCCTCACGCACCACCTAAGACATCATTTTCTTGTTATAACTTTGTCCTTGTCAAAAGCCATAAAAAGGACTTATCGATTCATAGCATAGTTGGTGAGATTAATTATGTGTCTTTTTACCTTGGTATTCAAGTGCCTATCTCTCCAGGCGACTATTTTGTTGGACAGTTGTGCCTTATCTTCAAGCTGCTTTATTATAATGAACAAAATCCACTAGCAAATCTTGGACCTCTAGCATATGTGTTTGTTTATAGGCTGGGAGAAGGATTGTTAGGTCAACCTGTAGGTACACCTGCTGGTACAAAGGCCCATCTTCCTAATGATGATATTGAATTGTTTCGAGTAAGGCCCAGTTTCAGGCCAGGGGACAACTCCAGGAGAGGACTCCTTGTGTCACTGAAGGATATCTGGATGCTAATCAAGCTTGTCCCGAAGTTTGGAAAGAAGTGTCCACAAGGATGGAACAAGCATACAGCAGTGGAGTTAGCCTCAGAGTTATACGTGAATTCTTTCGATAACGAATTTACATACCAGCATATCTACTAGTAGTGCAGGGCTTTTAGAAGCATTGAATTTCTACAGCAGAGTTAACACATATTGTGCAAGATGTGATTTGAACAGATAAGTGTACATAGTAATGGTTCAAGTTGCTCGAGCTGATTGATATTGTTCTTGACAGTGCCTCGATTCTGATCAGGTCGTAGAATATTGCATCGTGTGAGTGAACATGGGTAATTGGCTTACCAAGAGACCAAAATGTGAGACAGTATAGCAAAGCGGCTTTTGTGAAAGATGACAAATGAAATGTACCTGGAAAGTATGTACGTGATATAGTATCATACCAGTGGCATGTGTCAGAAAGAGAAACAGGGACGACTTAGTTGGGGGACAATGAACAAACGAGATTGGACGGGTAATATTTTCCGAATTCCCCGGGCTTACAAGGAGAGAGGCAACTCTCTTTGTTTGTAACAAGTCTATCCGCCCCAGATTGATTTATGCAAATATACTCGGTTTGGTAGATGGTGGAATCGCTGATGCAAGAGTCTTTTTCTTAAGAGGTTGAGATACTAGTAATGTCTAGGGTTTTGCTTGTACATGTGCATATTTGTAAAGTTAAGGAGAGTATACAATACTCAGGAGACTGCATTAGCATATTGTATACAGTGTAAAGTATATTTTTCTTATGAAACATGAGTTTAATTTAATTACTCACCTACAGGGTATCCATTATGTATATAAATGCTGTACTGACCAAGAAATTTTATACAAATTCATCAAGAACACTCATCCTCACTTTCTAAATATTCAGTGTATCCCTTGGTCCTTATATAATATGTGCGCATGAAATACGCCCGTCTTGATTTTTTCCTAAGTAGCTGTAAGGTATGGTGTGTATGTGCATTCGCAAAAGTCGTATGTGTATAACTTGAATACACAACAGTAGTAGTGCGAAACACTAACACTTTGTACCTGGATTTACTAAGTTAAGTTGGACACACGATGACACGTGGTATTGGTGACGCTGTTACGCTGAGTCACTATCATGCATACTAGTACGAACCCCTAACAAGGCTGTTACAAGCCTCCCCCCACTCCCCCCATCTCTGAAGATGCCACACATAGTGTCCAACCTGTTAGATGTCTATGGCTGTGAGGAGCAGCTCCTCCTCGGCAGCAAATTTGCCCCCTCCGGAGCGATCATCCTCTTATTTGACTGCTCTGTAGAAGCTGCGTATGGCGAGCTAGGAGGGAGGTCGCCACCTCCTTATACTAGTATCAACAGCCCAATCCTTTCTTCTTTCAAGGCAGCTATAGAAGAGAGTGACGACATAGAAGTTATAGTCATTGTAAGAAGCTCTATCAGTAATGCGTATTGTGCAGTTTTATTCTAACAGGCCTTGTTAGCAATATCCCAAGGGGCCGATTTTGCGAATGAAAACTCCCCTATTTGGAGCTCACGGAAAGAAACGAAAGCATGCATTGAAGTCTTTGAATTCCAAGCCGTTTAAGCAGCTGAAAACGGGCTACCGCAGGCTTGCAGAGTCATGTAAGTGGCAAGGACATCAATAGCATCCACTCTACTTACGAGTTTGTTAATAGACCGTATTGATAGTGACAAATCCACAAGAAAAAGTGTATTGATTTTTGGTGTCAAGGAGGGAGCTATTGCTGCAAATGCTCTTGTAGAAATGATCCGCATGGTCAGTTCTCTTGCATTACCAGATTTTTCTTACAAAGCATTGAACAATCTGTGTAGACCGGGATTCTTATGCGTCAATTTTGCCCACGTGGTAATAATGGTTTATTTGAAAAATACTTCCAGGAGGTATACAATGTTGCTACAACCACTACTGGCCCTGACTCGAACGAATGTAAAAATTTGGTGAGCTGTAAACAGACAATACAAGGGAATTTTGATACTTAACAATTTTTAGATTGCTACTCGAACAATGAATATGCAGGTGGATCTACTCGGCCTGTGGTATAATAAAGTTGATGGCAATCAAAAACTGAGAGCAGTGCGTGGACAGAAACCTCACGTAGGTACTGTAGTTGTGGAAGGTCTGACCCCATGTACGTTCATTCGTTGCATCTGCTTTATCCGTAGATAACATTTCGATAGGTGCAAGTTGTATGAGGTACTCCTGTGGCAAGTATTGCCCCCTTCGACACATGATTGAGACGGTCTCGAAAACCTGTGAAGAAAATAAAATTTCCGTCTACTTGAATAGTAATTATATAGCCAGCGAAATTGACATCCAGTCTACCAATGGCTGATTTACAATAGCTCAACATTTGCTGCTTTACCATTGGTTACTACTTAACTCATGACCACATTTGCCTGTATGCACCCTTCCATTGTTAATAAATCTACTTCATGCTGCACAGCACAAAATAGTCCCTGCTTCACTACTTCCTCATTTACTTTCGTGACCAGTCCGCCTATCATGTGATCAGAGCAATATCAACTGAATACTTAGAGTAGAACAAATCATCCACACAAGAATGGCACCTATTCACTGTTGCTACAGCTACTATCTCTGTTGTCCTTTTACCTCTTCCTCCACTCAATGTTGCTGTTGTTACACAAATAGGATTGCTCCACATTCTGATTTTTCACCAAGTACTTTGAACCCAGCTGACTGAAACCACATTTGTGTCAAGTGATCAGCACGTTTTGATGCTTATAAATACTGCTGAGGTGTGCCTGATTGGCTCACATCACACGTCATTCAGATGTTTGTTACTTGCTCTCAACCCCTATGCCTTCTGGTTGCTTTTACAATATGTCTAGGACCTGTATAAATACCTGACGAATTGCACTGGAAGTCTTTTGCCTGAGGTAGACGGATGGATTATTGGGATGAGCAACAGGGTCTAGGGGACAGAGAATGGGTTATTTGCAAAGCATGTACTAGGATGGTTTTTGGCAAGTATTTCTTGCTTCTACAGGTGGATGTAGAAATTGACACAGTCAGGTGAAAGTCATGCAACAATCGACACTGCCTTAATTGGAAACGTTAAGCATAATTCATCTAAATAAGGCAGCATTGATTGTCACAGGACTTTCACCTGACTGTGTCAATTTCTACATCCACCTGTATTGGGCTGAATTCATATTTGCAGTGACTACCCTCGTTCCAGGCATTGTTGGACCCCCTTACTCACTATTGATTGTCTCCTATAGTGTCTGTTCCCAGCTATGCCTTGCCATCATATCCTGCTGCTTGATGGTACTACACATGAGTCTGTAAACCTCTAGAATGTATAATGTATGAAACCTGCACCCCCTGACTGCATTGTTGGTATTCAGCCTCAATCACATCCCTCCCTTGCATATTGCACAGCTAAACGTTGCACTTTGTTGTGCAGAAGGGGGTCAATTTGTCTATTACCATGTGGGTTGTCTCATTGTTAAAGAGAATAGGTACCAAGGCTGTAGCATCACTTGTATAGCCTGGCATGGGTGCAGGGCCAGGGTTGCACAATGCTGTTGACTTGGCCATAGCTCCTGCACTTCTGTCATATGTTGCATCTATCCTCCAACATCTTGTAGGAAACTGTGAGCCTTGTAGTTGTGTTCCAATACTGTGATTTACTATAAGTACACAATAGATGAGGCAAATGACTATATTTCCATTTTCGGATACTCCAGAGGTGCTGTAATGGCTCTACTTATTACTCGTTATATTTGAATTGTGAGCACTGGTTAAGTGCTAGGTTGGTCCTTCTTTGACAAATGTTATAAGTATGGGTTGCCTGCTGATGACAATAATGTGCAGACAATCACACAGAGATTGAAGAGGCTCAAGAAGAATCATGGTTGGAGCAGTGACAAGTGTGTTAATATTGTGTGTAACTGTTAGATTATCTTGCCACTCCAACCATCCTTATGTCTCAACAGAAACAAACCTCTAGATTTCCAAATATTCTTGTTACCCAGCTCATCCTCTTGTAAATTCTGTCTTCTTGAACTACCAGCTAATGTATAGGGCTGACAATTTTATTCAGTGATCCTGTTGCTGCTTCCCTTTATATTGGGCAGTGCAATGTCTGTTTCTGTGCCAGTGATGCAGAACAGGTAATTGTCTGCTTTTCATGTGATGAGCACTGTGTTGTGTTCTGTCCTGTTCTCTTTACAAATGAGGTGCAAGATCTGGAGGAGCAATATGCTCAGGACAGCTTTACACAGCCGTTTGAAGTTCAGGGGCACTTTGCAGTGTTTGCTGGAGGCCACTCTGGTGAAGGGTTATCTTAAAACTGTGTATTAATGTGTTGACAATTGTTGATGAAGAGTTCTGATTTTAGTTACTATCAGATCTTCTTGATTTTATTAATTCTTTGGATTACATAATCACTTTCTTCATGTAGTTAGTTCTTTCCTATTTGGAATGGACAAAGGAGAGTTTTGACCAGAGCCCACAACAACACTAGAGGGAACAAGCCCACCAAAACCTTGCCTCTCATTGATTTAGATATTGGTGGTGTCAAGTCAAGTTTTGAAGGTCTCCATATGATCCCATTAAGGTTTGTAATTAGAATAGCATCACAAATGCAACCATGATTCCTTTAGAATGAAGGTTTTCCAGATTGATTTGGGCTTGATCCTAGACACCTACATGTTGAAAGACATGCTCCAATCATAAATGGATATGCAAATGTTAGTGATTACATTGCCCACAATGTGCCTGCACAGTACATTATTCATGAACTGAATTCTGACAAGGAGGACTCACAGGGAATTTTTGAGGATGCACATTCGTTGCTGTGGCTATTTGCTGGAATGTAAGTTGTCTAGTACCTTTACCATTATTCAGTATTAATTTATATAAACTCTAGTTTGCAAAGCCACCAAACAAATAGCACTCGAAATTTCCATGATAAAAGGGTCTACTAGACTGTGCAGCAACACAAGCAACTGGTGGCTGGATACAGGCCTAGAGCAGTTCTGAACACAAATAGGCACTATGTAGCATAAATAGTTCAGTGTTAATGTAAGACATCAACTGGGAGTCAAGGCAGAACCTACAGACGTGAAGGACTTTCAACTATGAGCTCAAATTGTACTTCCTAGAAGGTAGTACTTGTGTTATTGTGTGAAATCAAAGCAACTCATTCAATAGAGATTACTAAGTAGGATTGATGTCACCCATTATCTCTTGTTCCTAGCAGCTCATGCTACATCTTATCAAAGCTGCCTCTACAGTATTGACCTGAAACCTGTTGCAATATACTTGGACATCAATTTCAAGGTTGTAATAGCCCAGAACAGAAGAATTGCAGTTGCTTCCTCTTGTATACTTTATGCCACATAGAGCTCACTGGCCAAGTTGCCCATGTTCACATGTATCAAATTTGTATACCTTTCAAATGGTCTTCTTTTGTGCTTATGAGGAGAAATTACAAGCTAGTAAATTGTTTTATACATTTAAAGCTTTAATATTGGGATTTATTACTGACAGCTATCTAAGCTTGCAGAACTTGGCAATGCATATTGCCATATTTGTGAAAGCTTACTAATACAAAATACATGTCAAAATAGTGCTGTTGTAACAGCTGGTTGCACTGAGTCAATGAATTGGATTTGCTTCCTTAGATCTTCAACATCACTCAAGGTCTAACTACACCTATTAACCTGACAATGGTTGAAAGAGGACCTATCACAGAAACAGACTGCTTGCTGTGTAGCATTTGTCTACTGGTCTGCTAATTGTCAACTTATTGCCCTTCCAACAGATTTGTTCCTGGCACTGAAATTCAAAAGGTAGGGCAGTGGGAAACAGATGTGTACCATGGGAGAATAGAGGCATATACTTCTGTAAAATGTAGAGAAACAGAGCAGCAGAAGCGAATGCCAATCACACTAAGAAGAGTATGGACAGAAATGTTGCTAGATACATTCAACATAGTCTGTGATGCCAACACAGTGCCAGCCTCAGTTGTTTGTTTAATTCCTCTAATGGACAGTAATGAATCCAAGAGTCGAACCCCAGCATTCCAGGAGCATGCGATTTTTAAACTGTCTGAGTTGGAGCACAGCTTACAAAAGGTCAATCCAGTCAAAACAAGCATATCTGGTAAGGAATATCTGTTCTTCAGGAATGTACATTTTAGGACCTCTTCTTCAGATTCAGACATATTGCCAGGTGCACCTAAGATTTTGTACAGCAATAGTACTCAAGAGAATGAAGAAGTGATAACTAAGTACAAGCACAAGGAAAAAGACCTATAGTAAGCACATCTTCCTACCTACAGTGTCTCTTGCAACAGTGTCACCAGACTTACTGAACTAAGGGTATCTTAAGAAAGAACTCACTTGCTAGTGTATGCAAGAAACAGTAATGACAGTATTTTAACTGTAATTTTTGTGTTCCTAAACCTGATTGTCAGTAACAGTGTAGAGGGGACCTAAAGGCTCAGTAAGAGGACCCAGGCTACAACTATCCTACACAACAGAAATACAGGACACAAGCACTAGAACATTGTCAGAACTTGTAGAACAGACAGAGAGAGAGAGTAAGACAAGAGTAGAGTATATAGAGTGAGCCTAAGAGTACAGGACTACCTAGAGTGTCAGCAACAGTGTAGAGGGGACCTGAAGGCTCAGCAAGGGGACCCAGGCTACAACTATCCTACACAACAGAAATACAGAACACAAGCACTGGAACATAGTTGGAACTTGCAGAACAGGCAGAGAGAGAGAGTGAGACAAGAGTAGAGTATATAGAGTAAGCCTAAGAGTATAGGACTACCTAGAGTAGACAAGATCAAGACTACAGGACCAGTCTGATCTTGTACACCTATATATACTAAACTACACAAGAGCACTCAGAGAGTATGAGCCACTTAAGAATGATAAGCCACAAAGAATGAAAGAAAGGAATGTCAAAGATAAAGATACAAAGAATGAAGGGATGGACAAAGGGTAAGAGACTATAGAATGAACAAAGAATGAAGGGGTGGTCAAAGGAATGGAATGATAAAGTAAGGAAGGGTAGTAGTAAGAGTCAGTATACATATAGTCTATAAACAGTGCCTCTGAGGGATGGAAGTCCTAAGTTCTAGTACAGAAGGGTGCAGAACCCTTAGAACTGAAGGTATGAGAGTAGAGAACTGTAACATCACCCCCCCTCTAAAACCAATTGTCCTAATTGGTGAACATTAGGCTTGGTTAGCAGCTTAGGTATAGGTTAGAACAGTAGGGTTTGGAAATCTGTGAGGCAGAGTTGACACAGAGCACCCAGATGAAGTTGATAGAAGTCTTGGATTGCCTTAGT